CTGATCACAAGAACCTTGCTAGCATCCAGTCTGCCAAACAGGCCAACCCTCGTCAATCCAGGTGGTCCATTTTCTTCTCCAGATTTAATGTCGTTATCTCCTACAGACCCGGATCAAAGAATGTGAAACCAGACTCCCTCTCGCGCCTATACTCCGTCGATCAACCCGAGACACCAGAGCCAGTCCTCCCGGCCTCTTGTACTGTGGGAGTCGTGAACTGGGAGATATCCGATCTCATTAACTCCGCCCTGGCCACGGAACCCGACCCAGGTAACGGTCCGGCTAACAGAACTTATGTTCCGTCTTCCGTCAGGTCCAGGCTCATTCAATGGATGCACACTGCCAAATTCTCGGCCCACCCTGGAATCAGTAGAACTATCGCTCTCATCACCAGATGCTTCTGGTGGCCCACTCTCCACAGGGACGTAAAGGAATATGTGCTGGCCTGCCCCATTTGTGCTAGAAACAAGGCCTCGCATCAGCCACCTTCTGGTCTGCTACAACCTCTTCCGATCCCTTCACGTCCATGGTCCCACATTGCCATAGATTTCGTCACTGGTCTCCCCGTCTCTCGATGTATGTCCACAATACTCACCATCGTTGACCGTTGTTCCAAGTCCTGTCATTTAGTCCCTCTCAGGAAGCTCCCCTCGGCGTTCCAGACTGCTCAGCTTCTCGTGAAACACGTCTTCAGATTACATGGCATTCCCCAGGAAATCCTATCAGACCGTGGTCCTCAATTTATCTCTCAAGTTTGGAAAGCCTTCTGTTCAGCTCTGGGCTGTAAGTCTGCTTTAACTTCAGGTTATCATCCACAATCCAACGGTCAGACCGAGCGCATGAATCAGCACCTTGAATCCACCCTCCGCTGCCTAACGTCCAAAAACCCCACCGACTGGAGCCAGTATCTTCCTTGGATCGAGTACGCCCATAACTCCCAGAGATCAGCATCCACCGGCCAGTCACCATTTCAGGTCAGTCATGGATACCAACCACCACTTTTCCCCGCAGATGAAAAGGAGATAGCAGTCAAGACCATCAACCAACACATCCGTCGCTGTCAAAGAATTTGGAAGGAAACCATCACCACCCTAAACAAATCATCAGAGACCACCAAACGTTTTGCCGACTCCAAGAGACGTCCCGCTCCCGAGTACGCCATCGGACAGGAGGTATGGCTGTCTACCCGAGACATTCCCTTGAGGGGAATGTCTCGGAAACTGTCTCCCAGATTCATCGGTCCATTTAAGATTTCCCAGGTTATCAGTCCCTCCGCAGTCCGTCTCCAGTTACCTCCGAGTCTACGCATCCACCCCACCTTTCATGTCTCTCAGGTCAAGCCCGTAGTCTCTAGCCCTCTGTGCCCGCCATCCGACTCCCCACCACCCGCCCTGGAAGTCGATGGCCACCCTGCGTTCACCGTCCGTCGCATCGTGGACTCCCGTCGGCGAGGTCGCGGCTGGCAGTACCTCGTCGACTGGGAGGGCTACGGACCTGAGGACCGTCAGTGGGTTCCCGGCTCTTACATCCTCGATCCTTCCCTGATCGAGGAGTACGAGCGTTCCTGCCCATCTACTTCCTCCGGACCGCCAAGGGGCGGTCGTTGAGGGGGGGGTACTGTTGGAAGCTGGAGAAGTACCTCTCTTCTCCAGCAGAGTCCGCCGTGGATCCTCCTGAGCAGAGCCCTGTGCACAGCTGCTGCTCGTTACCATCATCAGGAGGACCCTCTACTTAAGCTGTCTTCAGACCTTGCCTTAACGCCGCAGTGTTGAGCCAGTTGGTTAGAACCTAAACCTAGAACCTCTGAGAACTTAGTTTGCTCTGAATCCTGACAGGATCCTAATCTTGTCTCTGTCTTTCCAGGAAAACCTGATCTACCCTTGCGAAGCTCTGGAAGAGCTTAACCTGCCGAGCCTGCCCTCTGAGCCAAACCTGAAGATTACCTCTGGATTCACATGCAGCTCTGGACCAAGAGCTGGAAACCCAAAGTCAAGGTCTGCTACCTTCCTAGAAGCAAGACGCTGAAGCAGCTAACGGACTCTGCTAACCAGACTCTCTCCAGTTCCAACAACCTTCCTCTCCAAGTGCTATTCAAGGACCATCGGCGTCGCCAGACCCCATTTACTGGGGCACGTGCCCCAGTATAAATGAGCTGTGCCCCACTATAAATCTCATGAATATTTGCAACAGTATTACATTTTTTTAATGCATCAATTTAGATCATTCCAACGGGAGGAGACGTATATTTCTACTCAAATGCGCAGCAAGTGTGTTGGTAACTCCAAATTGAGGATGTAATAGCGCCCCCACGTCAGCGCATGTCACTGCATGAACTGCAGGTAAACTAACACGCTGCTCTCAACTGAGTTGGATGGGACACTGTGCGGCCACGACGCATTTTTAGTTCTGGTAACGTTTCTTACCTGTCAATTTTATTATTTTCCCAGTGAAACCACATGATTTATAGGCTACTAACTGAAAATTACTGCATTGGTTTGTAGATGGATATCAGGAAATTCCTCACACGAAGCAGAGACAGGGAAGCAGTAGGGCTAAAACAAGATGAGAGAGAGGAAGGTAAGGTCCCGTAATGAATTAGTGATTTAAGCTAAGCAGTTACATTAGGGACGTTATAAGCAATATGATAGATATTTACATAATTATAAATTTACGTTTTTTTAATGTTTGCTGTAGAGAATGAGAATGAAGGTGCTGGAGTAGGAAAGGGAGGAGGAGGCGAGACTGACTGGCAAGAGACAGGAGAGAGACAGGAGAGACAGGACCATGAAGGTAAGGAGGGAGCAACAACCAGCGTCCACAAACAAGAAGGGGACATTAGTGACTTAGGGGGAAAGCATGATGGTCCGAAACAAGTGAAGTTGTCCCACTATCCCCAGGACAAATTTGGAGTAAAAAAACGTTCATTTAATTCAAAATGGTTTGAAAGCTTTTCCTGGTTAAAAAAGAAAGCCTTGTCATCAAGGATATGCAGTGTGTTTTCAACTTGCTTGATAACATCATGTTCCCCACACTAACGCAGGTCATCCAGATCTCCCTCACCATCCCAGTCTACAGCTGGAGTTGTGAAAGGTCATTCAGTGTGTTGAGAAGGATCCACACTGGGCTGAGGTGCACAATGGGACAAGACAGGCTCCATCATCTTGCTATTTTATCAGTTGAAAAGGAAGAACTTTCTAAGCTGAGTCACAGTGAAGTGATTGACCACTTTGCAAAAATGATAAATAGGAGGTACACTTTAATGCTCAAAAAATAAAAGGAAAACTTAGCTCAGGATGAGTTAAACTTTCCGCCGAACTAAAACTCTGTAACCTAGGAATTAATGATTACGTCAGAATGTGTATAAGGAAACTTTTTATTTGTCAAAGTTGTTGATGTCTTATTTTTTATAGCTGCAATGTTGAAAATGTTCATGTCTGTTAAAACAAATATGCTCTTACACTCATTAATATCTCAACTGGTAATTTTGGTAGGAATGTATCAGGGTGGGGCAGTGTGCTTGTCTGTATTTGTGTATGGAAGAAGGAGGGGCATATGCGTTAGGGGGCCAGTGCCCCAATAAAGCTTTGTGCCTAGCAACGCCCCTGTCAAGGACCCTCAAGGTACAAACCAGAAACTATCTAAGGACAGTCCTCTAAGAACCCAACTAACTAAACTGTCTTCCTCACAGACTCCGGTGAACCCGTTTTTCCCAGGACCAGAACCTGAACACATTACCTCTGAAATTGTATTCAATAAACTCTGTGAACTTTTCAACTGTTTCCTGCCTCGTGGTGTTCTGCATAATTGGGTCACATTCGTGTACCGATCATGACAAGTAGCCTATATTTTGTGGATGTACAGCTACATTTCTCATGTAAGTTTGCGTAGTTTTAACACAAACATTTATTTTTCATATTGCACCAGGACAGTTAATGAGCAACCTGTACTTGTGTGCTTGTTTGTTCTGTCTAAAATGTTTATTTTGGAATAAAGAGGTTAATATAAAAAATATTTTTTGTCCGATTCATCGATTAATCGAAAAAATAATCGTCCGATTCATCGATTTTTAAAATAATCGTTAGTTGCAGCCCTACATTTATTACATTTGTTCTACACCATGTCAACGACAAATGCAGAATATTTCTGATCTCTAGCTTCAACAGTTCCAGAGCTGTGGGGGTTTGAACTGTTGGTGTCACCAGCGTCTCCAAATGTGCCAAATTGACCCATAGAACACTGAAGCATTTTAATGGCCACAAAACATTTATGAAGCAAATATTTTCCACTTATTTTCAACTATTTTTCTTTGTTTGTTTCCTCCACTTCCTGTTGCATCTCTCCTGAATAAATCTATGGATGCATTTTATTTCTCATCACTTCTAATAAAACTAATGTTCTTTCTAAGGTTACTGAAGCTTTATAAAGCAGAGGAGGATCTGCTGCTTTATGGATCCAGTGAAGGTGTTTTAGGACGGATGTTACTCAGTTCTATGAAACTAAGTCACACTTTGACTTTAAAGACTCTTATGTCTCTTTTTCAAACATCCAGGCTGCGAGTCTAACAACCAACCAGACATGAGACCAAACCAGAGATCTGAGTAAACAGCTGATCTATAAACCATTCTAGGTGATAAAGTCTCTTTCCCAGCAGCAGATTCCTTCACCAGCTGTCTTCTTTTGCTGCAATCATCTCCATTCTGCTCTCAATCCAAACCTGCTTTAATCCTCATTTAGCTTCATCTGCAGAGAGAGGAAAGCAGCCAGCCTGTTGCTCAGGCTGCGCGCCCGCAGCAGCGCAGCGCAGCGGCCATCCCTGAACAGGCTGCGGTTCAACCCCGCTGCCTGGGAGCCGCTGAGCCGGGAGTTCAGGAAGAGCTTCAGCTGCAGCAGCAATCAGAGGGAATGAAAACTGCTGCGCAGCCACAGCGCTCACAAACACTGGCAGGGAGCGCGCAGTAGCCACGCCACGCCACGCGTGGACCTGGAGAGGAGGCTCCTACCTTTGGAGAGGACTGGAGCTGGCCAGGAACAGCCGCACAGGAGGCCCAGGGCGAAGAGGAGGCGTCCCTTTGTCCGCGCATCCATCCCTCCCTCCCCGCTGATGCGCCTCAGAGGGGACGCTTCTCCGGATCCTTGGCGTCTCCCTTCTCCTCCTCCTGCTGCTCCTCCTCCTGCTGTGGAAGCGGAGAGCGAGGCGGTGTGGCGGGCTGGCAGCGGAGGAGGACGCAGGATGGCGGGCTGCACTGCTGATCGAGGAGGAACAACATCTTCACTTCACTTTGGCCGTGCGCGCGAGCGCGGCGGCGGGGGGAGAGTTTCCTCCCCCTTTCAAAGCATCATCAGCACCGGAGCCTGCTGCGCTCCGACCAATGGCAGAGCGGGGGGGTCAGACATGCAGCAGGGAGACATTTCTAAAGTTAGATGATGGAAGCAGGAAGAGCCGCTGATGAATTTATCACAACATCTGGTTTAACAAAGACTCATTAATCCATCATTCAAATGATACTATTGGACAACAATAACGAGTAAAAAAGAGAAGAAAGCATTAGAAGAAAGTTGAAATGGAGAAATAAATCTATAAAAACCACCGTTTGTAGATCTACCAAACACAAACTCACATCTCTAAAAGGAAACAACATTTTGCCTTTATTAATTAAACCTTTATAAGGCAAGTTAGCGTTTTTGATCACCTGCCTTAGAAAATGGAGTCCCCCCCCCTCCCTTCCCTCTGTGAGGTCTAGAAGCACTAGATCTATATCCAGCCATTCAGCATAGATCCTGCTACATGGCTGTACATCTGATTTTGACATTTGACCAATTAGATGAGCCCTAGACTGATAGAATACCTGCTGGGAATTAAGCTGGGGGGGGAAGTTAAGTTAAGAAAAAAAAAAAGCTAATTGAAAAATTTAAAAGTTAATAATTCTAGTTAACAATGATATTTAGGTGTATAACTAAGAAATGTGCCAGTAGCAGCATTAATGCCTTTAAAGTTATGTTGGACCAATTAAAAGTGTTTCTTTCACTCTCAGTGTTTTTCATGAATTTCTTCTAGAAGCACTTCTGTTATTTTTCTTTATATATTCGGGCAAGTTGGCGTTTCTTCTTATTATATTGATATTCATTTTTTTACACACAAAATATCTATATTTTTTGAATGTTTCAAAGGTAAAAAGGTCTCATCCTGGATTCCAGTAACACTATTGGCTGGAAATGGGGATTTATCTGAGTTCCCTTTAAAATACGGAGGGTAAAAAGTGCCAAAATTATATAAATAAATACAGCATTAAATAAATAATTTAATGTGTTAATAATTAATTAAATGTGGAATTAAATAAATAAATGTGTCATTCATTAATTAAAACCACGTTACTAATATAAAGTGCCACAATTAAATAAATAAATAAATACAGCGATAAACAATCAATTAAATGTGTAATTAGTTAAATAAATAAGGTTTTAAATATATAAATGTGTCATTAATTTAATAATTTACGTCTTCATTTTATTTAAAAAATATATATAATTATTTCAGTGTGCATTTAATTATTTCATGGTCCTGTGTCGCAGTGCATCGAAACCATTAAAACCATTAAAAGAATCTGTCAAACTCACCCATCAAAGTTAGGGGGCGGGGTTAACGCCATCGAGTCTCTGTATTCGATTTGCTTCGCCTTAATGTGCAGGCTGACCAATCAGGTGTTAGATAACCGCCCCCTAACTTTGATGGGTGAGTTTGACAGATTCTTTGCACACTAAAATAATTTTATATATATATATATATATATATATATATATATATATATATATATATATATATATATATATATATATATATATATATATATATAACCGCGGCAGACCAAACCAGATGAAAGTGCGCATTCAGCGTCTGCTCTGCCGATAATGCAAGCGTAGAAGAAGAAATGTGCTGTTTACCTGTGCAAAGAAAGAAACAACGAAAGAAAAATGTCTGAGGACTTCAGTGTTGAGGAAGAGCATGAGTTCTTTGCCGAGCTGAATGCGCACTTTCATCTGGTTTGGTCTGCCGCGGATTCCGTAGACTCGTGAACGCGCTTTCAGGAAATCCTATACACTACTGTTTATGCTCTAAAAACATTCTAAATGACTTCGTTTCGAGTAAATTCTGGACGCTACCCACTCAGGACACTTGGAATACATTGGACGAGCAGTATGGAGGAATATTGACACGTTTTTTGTGGACTTTTATGGACCTTTCTGCCTCGGGCGCCATAGACCTCCATTATTTGAATGTCAGCAGACAGCAAGAAGCCTCCCAGATCTCCAGATGCATTTGAGATATCAAAAAAGTACTCCAGAGTGTTGTTCAGCATGGGGGTGAGTAGAAAATGAAGGCTAATCATGTTTTGGGTGTACTATTCCTTTAATGCCACGATCAAAGAAATGTTTTTATGCAGGCCGGGCTCCTCCAGGTGCATTGCTGCCCCCTCAGGACCAGCAATGTGCCTGTGGGGGGCAGCGTTACCTGATGCAGTGTAATGCCCATGTGCTTCCTTTTATGGGCATTATGCTGCCGTGCGTTATGCATTAGGCTGTCGTTGACCTAACTTCTGGGCTCTTTATGAATGCTCTATGTGTACGCCCAACACTGAAATATACATAGAAAGTTCCGCGTAAGCCAGGTTTTTAGGAGATTCTGGGATGTCAGGCATACGCTGGATAAATCAGCAAGATGTGACAGGGGCCTAATTAGAGAGAACTGGCCTCCAACTTCCTACCAAATGTGTTCCCTAAGTCTGCATCTGTTGGTAATAAGTAGATTCTGGACGATTTTAGGTCAAGTTCTGTGAGCTGTTGTTCGTTATTCATCCAGAAAATGCTCAGCTTCACTATGCGTTTCAGTGTGGACATGTACATCTGGTTGAGGTCCTGTAACACAGCAAGGCTATCGCCGGTCTCCAGCTGAAAACACCTGTTCACCGCTTTTATCTCTGACAATACAGGATGGAGAAAATGCAAATACAGACTGTTGGTCTTTTCTTTAAATGTTTTGTGACCCGCGCTGAACAGCAGTGCTCAGAACCAGCTAGTAAGATGTAAGTGAGAGAATCTTCTTGATCAAGGATTCTATCAATGCAGTCTGCTGTAACCAACCAGCGGTAACCCTAACCCATTTGTAGTTCCTCCGTCCACACACTAGATGGTGCCATTGTCTTCTGCTGGTCTGGAGGGCTTCCTGTTCTTCTCACCTCACACCTGCAGCCTATTGGGTCATCACTTCCTGAGGAGTATTTAAGGAGCAGACTGGCTTCACTTCCTTGCCAGAGTGTTTGCCTGTATTGGGTACTCTAGCCCCTCTGAGTTTGAGGTTTAACTTTGAGTCAGAGTTTCTTCTGATCTCTCTCAGCGCTAACCAAGTTTTGTCTTTAAATCTCCGGCAGGATTATTCCAGATCCACTGGATAAGCTGGCCATTCTTGGAAGGGAAACACTCGTCACACTGAGAAAAGGAGACGGATCTCCTCATCTGCACTCTGAGCCCTTCAGGAACCAAGTGTCAGTCTGCTCAGCTGCTCCTCAGGATCTCCATAGTCTGCCTTTCCACCCTCCAACGAACTAATCCTTCTACAGACCAAGCCTCCACAAACGGGATCTAAGAAAACCTCCCAAACAACCACTGTGAGTCCAAGGGAGCTGCTGCATTGCTTTATGAGCTACAATGTCCAATGAGTGACACACACACCTGATTAACTGCAGGTTTGGCTGTTTCTCTTTGAGCAGTGTATACACAGAATGATGTCTTTCGACCATGACGCTCACTTCATCCGTTGCTATACCAACCATATTTGTAATGTCGAGGCCATAGTTTGCAAAAAGTTCTATAACTGCATTAAAAATCCCTGCAGCATCGCTTGATAGTTCTATTAGACCCAGATAAGTGCTCACAAATCACACGCGTTTTATTTTATTTATTTTTTTATCAGTATTTCACACCAATGCAAAGTAACTTGTTCTTGGTGATGTCGGTTGTTTTGTCCAAGTAAAGTGAATATAGTGAGTCGCTGATGTCCTCTAAAATTTCTTCTTGAAAGTACGCAGCCAACACAGACTTGTTCAAAGCCGATTGCATGTGGTAAGCTACGTCTGTCGCAATACAGAGTTCACGGTGTTTCTGGTCGTCACAAATCCCGCTGCTAGCATTACTCACTGATGTCACCATCAAATCCTTGATGGTGATTCTGTGCTGCTTTTTGTTGGCGTGGTGGCTTCAGGTCTTTCAAGTGGGTCCCTATGTTTGTTTTGCAAGATTTGCAGTGAGCCTTGCTTTCATCATTTTTAGATGGGGCTATCCATGATTTAAGATCATTGTTGCTTTCTCACTCTTTTCTGTAACTCTTCGTACATTTTCCCCACTTCTGCATCTTCCCGCCAGGTTTATCACACCAGAAGCACCTGTTGCTAAAATTAGCATAATCTGTGGCGCCACTTGATCTCTGTTATAAACACCCTGGCAGATGATATCAGCCAATCAGTGATGGAGAAAGACCAGAGAGGCTTTGCTATGAACCAGTAATGATGACTGATTGGTGGACGTGTTTTAATAGGTTAAATCAACAACCGCCGATCTGACTCTAAACCAGCCCAAATTATCTCCTTACCCCCAAAATCAAAATGAAAACAGTCGAGTTGGGTAGTAAACCACCCAATCTGGCAACACTGCCAGTCAGGTCCCACAGGGAAGAACCTGACCACCAGGTGCTCGGCAACGAACCCCAACCCCAGGCATGGCTCCAGGGTGGGGTCCATGATCTGTACCAGATGTTGTCAAGTGCCTCGATTTCCTGGTCTTAATAAGGACTTTTTGAACTGCTCTTTGTCTGACCCGTTGTTCTGTCAGACCAGCATACCCATAGTTTAAAGGGGAACGCAGTTTTTTTTCTATTGGTCCCTTGATTTTCCGTTATTCCATCATGTTCTAATCACCCATATGAGTTTAGTGTCATTTGGAGCCGTTCTGAAGATATTCCGTTAGGTTATATCCAGTAACGTCTTCCTATGGGCAACGACTTGAAGGCACAAACTAAACTGTTCATCATTTATTCTTTATGGTACGCCAGCATTCAGAACATGGAGGCCAATCACTGTCCCCCAGACATCCGCCGTTATAATTAATTACTCATTTTTGGTGTCTTTTGAAGCGTATGACAATCTGACCTTAAACAGTTTTTTGTACATGACTAAAGGCATACACACCCATTGAGGTAATTCATAGTGTATTTTGCGTACAAAATAAAAGGGATGAACACAAATCTGACGTCCAACGTATCAACACAGCCTCTGGGATCAAGCAGGGAC